CTTCATTGGCCGTCCAGAGAGGAGTCGCGAGAGCAGTGATCCTGCTCGGAGGGTAAGAAACTATTCGTAAGTCGCGAGTGGGCCAGGGATGCAGGAGGCTTCGGCTGGAGCAGATGATCTGAGTAGAAAGCGGTGGTAGTTTCTTAACCCTTCAGCCACTCACATTCTCGTTGCCCCTCTGTTGCTATATCTAGCAGCCATTCCCGGGGCCCGGTCGGTGAGTTGGCGAGTCTCCGCCTGCCATTTTTACGTGTAAAAATTACATTGTTTCGGCAGGTGTCATAGTCATCCATAGTTCCCAATTTACCAGTCCACAGCAACCCATCCATAGCCCTACCTTTTTTTTTCCATTATTCACAATAGTCCTACACTAACCGGGGACTGTCCTTGGGTGCATTTCCATAGTGCATACAGGGATAGTCGCCGGTTTGTGTCTCCATTACATTTATATTATTATTATAGTTGTCTAAAGGGCCTCTGCGCAGTTGGCTTCGGCCCCTCGTACGCCTTCCAAATGACCGGGACCCTGTGGTCCCGTGAATGGTAAAGACATACATAATAATAATAATAATAAAAATAACCTGGCAACACTACAAACGTCAACTTGTGAAAATTTTACTCTGTTTTTATATAAATAATTTATATATATTCCATTCTGTTTTCGTTTCTTCTAATATTTATCAACAATAGAAAAACCTTTTTGTTTTATAATAATACGCCATAATTTTACAATACTGCAAACTAAGAAGAAAATATTAAAAATGAAAATGACAATGACAGAATCAATAACTTCAAAAATAAATATACTAAAGCAAAACGATTAACAATGTTGACGAGAGCCAGAAGCAAACAAGGCGCACCCCCACCACCTCCGGACTCGTCGCTCAGCTCCGCCTCGCCATCGCCGGAACCCCGCTCCGCTGGAACGCCGGTGACTGCAGTTGCGTCGAGCTCGAGCGACGACTATTTCTCCCCACCTACGTCGCCACCACCTGTACGTCGGCCGGGGAGAGGCCGGCCACCGATTGGCTTGGGAACCAGGGGCCATCAGGCCCTGGGACGGGTCCCCGCTACCGGTGGTTGTGTGCGGCGCATGAAATGGACTCAAAGTATAAACGAGAACGTCATGCGCGCATACTACGGTGCTACAGAGGGAGGAACTAACCTCACGGCGTACCGTGAAAGGATGCTGTCTATGTTTCAGGTGCTTGAACCATCTGTCAACGTCTCGGCCCAACGACTCTCGGATCAAGTGCGGGTCATCCAACGTAATTGCAGATTGGATGAGACTACGCTTGATCGGCTACGCCTTGAAGCACTGCGCAACCGTGTCGTCCCCGCACCACCACAATTGGTGGCACCGACACCTGTAGTGTCACAATGTGTGACATCGACCACTCCTGTCGTTGGAGTGGAGGACGACAGGGTTGAACAAGTGAGTACTCAGTGCAATGAACGTCTGAGGAGTGCTTTGGAGGATGCGGTTCGTGAGTACAGACTTGCTCCTAGTAATTTAAGACCAAAGTTACCACGTTTGCCCATGTGTAGAAAAAATAGGGCGCTGGTGAGCGCCTTGGATTCGCTACTTAAAAATTATTTTGAGAGTAGCGAAAACCTCTATGATACACACTCAATCTTGTACTGTGGGGCAGTTGCTGCTTGTCGAGTGGCTAACGTCAGATTCCCAAATCTTGACGCAGCAGTCCGACCAAAACCAGCAGTACCTGCCTGGCAGTGCAGGATAGAGCGTCGTATCAGTGAGGCCAGGGTACTCATTGGCAAACTATCCTGCTTCAGGGAGGGCAATACTCGCCCTAGAGTGATGCGCTTTGTAAGACGTGCATTTGTGGGGACTGAAATCAGTCCTCATGAATACTTATCACGTGTTACAGAACGCATCGACTTCCTGAAGCAGAAAGTTTATGCATGGGCAAACCGTATCAGAAGGTACAAAAAAAGAGTGGAGCGCTATACTCAGAATCGCATGTTCCAAAGAGATCAGAGGTATACAGAGATTGGGAACGATCCAACCAAGATGTGGCTGACGGGCGGCGACCGGATGATGATGCCACTAACACATTTTGGCGCAACATCTGGTCGGTGCCTGTTAGCCACACAGAAGGTGACTGGATGTTTGATGTTAAGCGAAGGTGTGAGACTATACCAGAGATGGAGGAGGTAGTAATCACCTCCTCTGATGTAGCCAGTGCAGCCTGTTCGGTCCCGAATTGGAAATCACCGGGGCCGGACGGACTGCACAATTTCTGGATTAAATGGCTCAAGAGTTCACACGTTCGCTTAGCATTACACTTCCAGGCAGCTTTGGAAACTGGGTCGTTACCACAATTTCTAACAACAGGAGTTACCCACTTGCTCCATAAATCAGGTAGTTCCACTGAGCCCAAAAATTATAGACCAATCACATGTCTACCAACGGTCTATAAACTTCTTACATCCATTTTGAGGACAAAAATAACAAAACATATTGAACAAAATTCCATCATGTCTGGTCCAAAATGGATGTAGGGAGGGGTCTCGTGGAACTAAGGAGCTACTCCTCATTGATATGGTTGTTAGCCAACAGGTTCGTCGGTCCCGAAAAGATTTGTCTACATGCTGGATAGACTATAAAAAAGCATATGATTCTGTGCCACATACATGGCTCCTGAAGGTGCTGGAGTTGTATAAAATACATGCAAGTTTACGCGCCTTCTTGGAGTCATGTATGAGGCAGTGGAGCACCGTGCTTTGCTATCCGGGATGTAGACAAATCCAAGGGAATGAAGAACCTGTAAGGATAGTACGAGGAATATTCCAGGGTGACAGCCTGAGCCCACTATGGTTCTGCTTGGCCTTGAATCCTCTAAGTACTCTACTGGAGGATTCAGGGCTAGGCTATCCTTTGCGGAGAAGGGGTCTAGTTATATCCCACTTACTTTACATGGATGACCTCAAGTTGTTTGCTCCAAACAAGAAACAACTGACGGAACTACTGAATATAACTGAAAAATTTAGTAGTTCCATCAGAATGGAGTTTGGAGTAGACAAGTGTGCGGTCATGCATGTAAAGCGAGGAGGTATTGTGGAATCTGAGGGACTAGAACTCTCAGATTTCACAAAACTGAGATCACTCTCCGCAAACGATACATACAAATACCTGGGTATCAGAAGGATTAGGCATTAATGGACCGGACATGAAGCAATCGTTACAGGAGCGCTTCTTTGGCCGCCTGAATAAGGTACTCAAAAGTTCCTTATCAGGCGGAAACAAGGTGCGAGCCTTTAACGGTTGGGTCATGCCAGTCCTAATGTATTCTTTTGGTATACTCAAGTGGACACAGACTGAACTTGACACCCTGGATAGACGAGTCCGGACCCTGCTGACTGCAAATCGCATGCATCACCCTCGTTCGTCGGTCATGAGGTTGTACATCCCGCGGAAGTATGGTGGTCGAGGCTTATTAAATGCTAAGACCCTTCACAACCGTGAGGTGTGCAACCTCAGGGAATATTTCCTGAAAGTCAACGAGGGTATGCATCGAGAAGTAGCAGCGGTGGACAATGGATTCACTCCGCTATCCTTGGCAAAAGAGAACTGGCGCAAACCTGTGGTACTGAGCGTCAATGATCGCAAGGAGGTATGGCATAGCAAGGAGCTCCACGGACGCTTCTTCCGGGCCCTTCATGGGCCCAGTGTAGATTTTCTAGCGTCCGTATCTTGGCTACGATTCAGTAATCTCTTTGGAGAAACTGAAGGATTTGTCTGTGCAATTATGGACGAAGTTATCCTTACGAATAACTACCGGAAATATATAATTAAGGATGGGACGGTTGACATATGTCGGGCATGTCATAGTCCTGGTGAATCCATTAGACATATTATTTCTGGTTGTGGTCGTTTGGCTAACAGTGAATATTTGCATAGGCATAATCAAGTAGCCAAGATTATCCATCAGCAACTTGCTTTGCACTATCGACTTGTTGAGTCTGAGGTACCGTACTACAAGTATGTGCCCGACCCAGTTCTGGAAAATGACCATATCACGTTGTACTGGGACCGGTCTATCATCACTGACAGGACTATTATAGCGAACAAACCTGATATAGTGGTGATAGACCGACAAGTGCGCCGCACGATGATAATCGATATCACTATTCCTCATGATGAGAACCTCGTGAAAGCTGAAAAAGATAAACAAATCAAATATCTTGATTTGGCTCACGAGGTTGTCGACATGTGGAGTGTAGATTCGGCTATCATTGTGCCGATAGTCGTGTCGGCCAATGGGTTAATCCCTAATAGCCTCGACAACCACCTTAGGAGGCTAGCGTTAGGCAGTTGGGTCAAGGGCCTGATACAGAAGGCAGTTCTCCTAGAAACGGCACGTATCGTGAGGAGGTTTCTGTCTCTGGAGCCCTAACCACCGGTAGCTTGGACCATGCTCCCGCTACTGGTCGGGTCCTATTTTTTATATTTTTAAATATTATTTTTTTTATTTTGTAAGTAGTATTTAGAAATATAATTTATGGAGAATTTTAAATAAATATATGTAAATAATAATAATAATATAATAATATAATAATAATAATATATATAATATATAATATATAATATATAATATATAATATTATAAATCTGAAAGTGAGTTTGTTTGTTTGTTTGTTTGTTCCACCTTCACGCCGTAACTACTCAACCGATTGCTTTGAATTTTTGCAGATGTATAGTTAGAAGTCTGGATTAAATAATAGGGTAGTTTTTATCCGGGAAAAATTTGATATTCCCGAGGGAAAACAAAAGTATTGGTATAGATGGCGCTGTGTGTTTTGTTACATGTCACATTGGCTTTTTATCCTTTTGTGACGCAAGCGAAGCCGCGGGTAAAAGCTAGTTATTTCTAAATAACTACAATTATGTTAAAGTATTCTATTAGACGTCTGATACCCACGGAAAGAGTAGCCTTGGTGAGTTTGTGACAAATATATTATACAAGATGGATGGTTTACCTGAGCTGGTCTCCAATGATGATGACCTTCCTCTCCAGCAGTAGTGACCCGAACACCTTGATGACTAGTCCAGCGCCCAACAAGTCCAGCAACACTGACATATTGTCCTCGTCCACGCGTGGTTCTATCGGACGCTTTATTATTTTTGTTCTGGAAATAGAAGAACAGTATTTATTGCAGTCGTTAAAAAATGTATATATAAATACGTAACATCACGCCCTTTATCCCCGAAGAGGTAGGCAGAGGTGCACATTATGCCACTATACAATGTAACACCCACTTTTCACTATTCATGTTATGGGTCCCATGTACCTAATAGGGGGAGAGCCTATTGCCATATTCTAGTCTAAAAAAACGCCGATTGCTCACCACCAGGCGATCCGTCTGCTCGTTTACCGGCTTACGCACTAAAGAAAAACACTATACCCCCATCACAAACACATAAAACCCTTACAAAGACAAATAGACTGCCTCGTTTGCCGAGTGGGCAAGGGGTATCGGATTCGATTTCCGGGTCGAGCAAATTACCACTGAGTTTTTTAAAAAAAGTCTGGAATTGTACCCGGGATATGGCAATAGGTCCCATGTAATAGGGGGGTATTACATGGTACAACATAAATAGTGAAAAGTGGGTGTAACATTGTACAGTGGCATTAAGTGCCGTAACGTGCATCTCTAGCCTACCCCTTCGGAAATATAAGGCGTGATGTTATGATGATGAAAAACAACTCGAAAAATCACTTACCTAGGCATATCAAAGCTAGAATTAAAATTCTTGACGCCATTGTTATTTTCCAAATCATAAAAATTTGCAATTTCATTTTTCTCCTCCCTCCTCAGATCCGGCAAAGTTTTGCTTTTCGGGGACACATTATAATCACCGCTCGGTAAACTATAATCACCGTCCGGAGATTCATAATCACCGGGGATGTCGTAATCGTTGTTCTTGGCGTAGTTGATTGTGATTTCCTCGCCTGGGTTTGGGAAATCTGTTTCGAATAGCTGTTGTAGTATTGAGTGGATTTCGACGTCTGAGCTGCCGTGGTGTGATTCTATTTCTTCTAGTACCTGAAAAATATTTATTTAATACATTAATTACTGCTTCGTTAGCCGAGTAACCAGACGTGAAGACGTAACAAACAAACAAATTATTATAAAGTATCAAATTAGGTTACTCCAGGTATGACATACTAATTTTTGGGTTGTTATACTGATATTTTTTAAATTTGCCGGGCTTTTTCAGTCTCTACTTTCGTTTGCCAGACTCTATAAAGCGGAAGTTTGTTTTTTTGTTTCAACGCGCTAATCTCCGTAACTACAAGTCTGATTTGAATAATTATTTTTGTGTTGGATAGCGCATTTATCGAGGATGGCTATAGGCTATGAAACATCACGCTACGACTAATTGGAGCTGAGCAAAGCGTGTGAAACCGCGCGGAAGTAGCTAGTAGAAGATAAGTGGTGAAGGTAGAATAGAACAAGAGAAGATGGTGGTCTGGACTAACACATAGGGAACGCGGGCGAAACCGCTGGCAGAAGCTAGTCTAAAGATATTTTTATAATAACTATTGTGAGACATACTAAATTAACTAAAAATCGCGGGTTACTCACGTGAATATACTGAGAAAGCCGATACCGCTTGGAAGCCGAGTTTAAAATCTATGACGATCCACAGCGTTTCTAGTCAGGAGTGTGACACAGTAAGCGCTATATGTATCACTGACTTTGTGCCAAACCCGGAATCAAACCCATTACCCGCGCCACTGGTGAGCGTACGATGCGTTTCAACTTCGTCCCAGGCGCCGCCGCTGGAGTCGGAAGCAAACACGCGTGATGTCCGCCGGCAGAGGGCGTGGTGAACAACACTGACGCAAGCGCCGACGCTAGCGCCGACGCTAGCCAGTAGGCTGCGCGACATCGCCGCGACCGCGCACGCTGCTCATGAGGAAGAGCCCCTCTGTGGCTCGAAACTAGTAGAGCTTTTCTTGGTATCCCCTCGACTGTCGATCGACCATCTCCTGGTCGATATCTAATCGTGCTCATCTGTCGGACGCCAGCTGCTGGTCGATCGTTGCCGCCGTATTTTAATTACAAAAATAAGCGTTGGAATGTGTATCTTTACTGTTCTAACTTGCAAAACATACGGGGAATACGACAAGGATAGAATATACCACCACATGTTAAACAAATTCCCGCCGGTAACATGAGTATTGTTTAGTCTATGCGGAGCCGTTTGTAGTCGTGTGGTTGTGTTATAGACCCAAGTGTTTTTATGGTTTGAAGGTGTTTTTAAGTGAAATTGGACAATATATTGTTTAACTATCATGGAAGGGTAAACAATAAACAGTTTTTAATTCATGACTTGAGTGTCAGACAAAGATTTAGGGTAGAAATTAATCTGTTTATAAACATCGTCACCCATATCGCGCGTCACCGCATTACATTTTGAGTTGTTTTGCATTTAAAATACTACTGTAACAGCCAAATGTAATGAATGACATCAATAATACATCTAACTGCATACGTACACAGCATTTAATTTGAATATCTTCGATAAGATTTTGCGTAAAGAATAAAACTAAAATACGCAACAACGGGCTCAAGGTCATCGGCCTCGGCAAATCGCCATTTTAGTTCCATAATTGGATAAGTATGGATAAAACTTTTGAGTGGATTTGGATTTTTATTTCGAGTATTGTAATATTTTTTGTTATCTTATTAGATATTGTTTCTTGCGTGCATTTTTGTTTTGTCTTTTATTAGTATTTTTTTAAAACGTGCACGTGCTGTTTTGTTTCCGTCCATACTATGTTAGCTTCCTTACTACTTTTTGTAGAGAAATTGTTTGTTTTAGATTTTAATTTTTGAATGATTTTGATATTTAGTTGCTTAATTATTATATTTTTTGATGAGTAAATATTATCAAATTGTAGAATATAAATTAATATTGGAAAAACTTCTAACAAAATTTGCTCTGTGATGCAAAGTTTGGGAGCACGTTTTTTAGCGCTTATTTTCAAGTGCTTAGTTTTTTGTTCAACACTTGTAAAGTATACATGTCTAACAGCTAAACCTTTGTTTGTAAAAATTACGAACCCAACTACAGAATGAGTCTTTGTTTTTTGCCACTTGGCTCACAGTGTTCTCAGAATTGAAGTATAAACATGACCCTTTTTTGTGTTGCGCTCAGGTAGCAGAAACGACGCATGTGATTGTTACGCTTGTAGTGTAAACAAACAGTATGAAAGCGTGTTTTTTTTAATGGATTATGATTCAACAGTATATTTTTTTGTAAATAAAATAAAAGTAATTTGAGAAAATTGATTAATTTTTTAATACCATGCAAAATATTTTCTTACAACGACTTTCTCCACTTTCTCCATCTTTTGCCTTAGAATTAACAATATATCATTTGGTAAAATCATCATGAATTATACTCACGATGTAGCCTATAAACTACAGATTATGAATACATAAACTTAATATACATCTTTCATACAATATTTTGGAGATATCGTCATTTTAATGGGCCGCGGCGATTTCGCGAGAGCCCACCCACGATGACGTAAACATATCCGCCATATTGCGAAATTTTGCGTCGACAGTGGAGGGGGTATGTTCACGTGAGTAACCCGCAATTTTTAGTTAATTTAGTGGATATTATTAGCGGAAAATAAAATAGATGTACCTTATAATAGAAGCCAGGCGCTCTATAGCGACCTATCAAACAGTAGCAGAGTGGTAGACACGTGGTAGCGCCCTCTGGTAGCACGCGGCGGCAGTAACTGGAAATATACAATTTTCTATTTAAAATATATTATCTATTGTTGCCCCACACTAGGATTTTCTCCTGTATCGTGGATGCGTTTACAAACATACAAGTTCACATACACAATGACACACAGACCCAGAACAACAATCTGTGGATCACACAAAGGGTTGCTCCGTGCGGGAATCGAAACCGCGTGACGATTTTATATCTTTCTTTCTTTCTACCAACGGCAAGTACCAATGTGAATATTTCCGAGTTATATGTACTTTTTAAGATTATTTAGACACCACTGACAAACGGTGAAAAAAAAACATCGTAAGGAAACCTGGGCTTATAATTTGTAATTATAAGTTTGAAATCGCCAACCCGCAATGAGCATGCGTGGTTTAATGCTCAAACATTCTCCGTGTGAGAAGAGGCTTTGCTCAGCAGTGGGCGTTTATAGGCTGTTTATTTTAATAATATTACATATTAATTCTCCACGGACTCTTGGTCCGTGCCCTTGTCATACATTTTTTTTATTATAATACATCTAGTCAAGTTTTATAAAGTAAAGAGGGAACCTAGTTACACACTACAATTAACCACATCTATAATTATTACTAAAAGTATAAATTACATAATAATTTGGAATTATCTATTTATTTCTATTTCGAAGACTACGAAATTAGCCCACCAACAAGATGAGAGAGCCGACCTGCCCCAGTAGAAGGCACCCGTTAACGAGTATGACGCGTGTGACAGATTGATCCGGTCAACCTTATTATTGGGAACGGAACAACCCAACACACAGCGCCACCGACTATAGGACATTTATGTGTGCATGACGCCTCAACCCTTGCCACGTTGGCCGATTCCAATAAAGGTTACAATAGTCCAAAAGTCAATAGGTTATTTTCTATATCTACATATTTCTGCATACACATTTCCTCGTGTGATAGTCGTGGTGGCCCCGAGGTTTAAGACGCCCACTTCTCATGCATGAGGGTGCGGGTTCGAAACCTACCATCGGTAAGTACCAATGTGACTTTTTCCGAATTATATGTACTTTCTAAGATTATTCAGACATCACTGACAAACGGTGAAGGAAAACATCGTGAGGAAACCTGGGCTTATAATTTGTAATTATAAGTTTGAAATCGCCAACCCGCATTGAGCACGCCTTGTGAGTAATGCTCAAACCTTCTCCGTGTGAGAAGAGGCTTTGGTCAGCAGTGGGCATTTATAGACTATTGATGATGATGATCATGGTTGAGTACTACTCACCCATAAGCCCGCTCGCCGCGCTCGTCTGTGAGTACGAGCGAGTAACACTGCAAGCTCCGAGCGTCCACTGACCACTCGCTGCGAGGTGATGAACTCATCGTCTCCGGGAAGACCAGGTTCTCTATGTGGGGCGGCACTTGTACCTGGAATGTTTAGCGTGCTATGTTAGAAGAGTTTTAGTTAGTTAGTTTTAAGATTTATGTAATCCTAATCTGTATGTACACTGCTTATAACTCAAGAACGGCTCAACCGATTTGACTGAAAATCGGCGAGGAGGTAGCTTAGAACCAGACGACGGACATAGAATACTTTTATTTAATGTATATCCCGAAAAAACAGGATTGTGCGTGCGAAGTCGAGGGCAGAAGCCAGTAATATTATAAATGCGCAAGTTTGTATGTTTGTATGCTTGTTTGTTCGTTACTTCTTCACGGCAAAACGGCTGAACGGATCGGAATGAAATATGAAACAGTGGTAGATTATGGTCTAGACGTATATACATATATAGAGTATTTTTTATCCCATGGGCAAGCGAGCGACATTTTTTTTAATTTTTTTATACCACGACCGGCGGCAAAAAAGCACACGGCTCACCATCCAATGACTTCTCTCGCCCGGGTGAGGACAGAAGTGTCAGACTCTTATTGACTAAAAATCACCCCGTTCCTACATCTGCACTTTGAGCCGGAGCCCTGGCAACCCGTTAAGTTCTCCACGGCACCGTATCCGCATCAGCCCTATTGAGCCCCATCTGTGGTGGTCTCATGGCTCTTTGAGGCGAGCGCGGAACGCATCGCGCTGTACGCTCGGGTCTGGCACCCATTTGCTCTCTAACTCGCACTCACTCTAAAATTGTTTAACAAATATGTTTAAAAACAACTCACTCACCTGACTAGGGAACACGCTTTTAACATACGCCTGTCCAGTCATATGATTCAATCCAACCAATAAACACAGATTAAAAAGCCCCCTTTCTCTAGGCTCAAAGGGCAAATCTATGCACCCAGCCTTTTCATCTATGCTCATATTGTCTATGCTATCCGAGCTGGCATCTAACACGTCCTTCATAGACAATACATTGCCGTCAGCATCTGTCAAATTGAATTTCGAAGCGGCATCCATCTTGGTTATATTTGTTATATTTCCTTGAGAGGTTCTAAAGCTTTTCCAGGATCTGAAGGTGGAATAGGGGTTGTCTATGACTTCGGATTTGTATGAGCAGATTGAGGTCTGGTGTCTGAATCTCTTGATGTTCTTTGGGTCTAAATAGGCGACCCTTGTCGATACTCTACGGACGTAGTTCTTTCTTTTTTCTGTCAAACTTCTTGTTAGTTTTACTGATTCTGTAATTAGAGAGAGTAGAATTAGATAAGTTAAGCAGGTTGCCATTATTTTGGAATGTATGATTAACGTTTTATCCCCGAAGGGGTAGGCAGAGGTGCACATTTCGACATTAAATGCCACTGTACAATGTAACACCCACTTTTCACTATTTATGTTATGAATCCCATGTAATAGGGGGTGAGCTATTTTTCAATAAATATCACAATGTCCAATTAAAAAAAAAAATACAAAAATTAATTAGTATTTTAGATACAATTTCGTTTGATCTTTTTTTGAAATTAAACTTCGGATAATAATAATTAGATAAGTATAACATTATCCACTATTGCTTTACATAACTATTTGAAGATACACTATAGATGCTGTAGAGATATGAGATGGAGGCCCTTTTGGCAAGGGCACGCACCGTAAATGTTATTTATTTATTTATATCTTGTTTTTATTAATTTTTAATTATTGTGTTAGTATTCTATTGTCACTGTTTTGTTATACGTTGTCGTTTCTTTGTGTTTTTTTTCTATATCTGTATAAATATGTGTATTTACTTGTTCTTTTCTTTTTAATTTTGTATTTTATTGTATCTGTGTGCGTGCCTACTGTCGAATAAATGATTTTTCTTTCTTTCTTTCTATACATTTCAAGTTTAATTTTATTTAATACGTTTCATATTCTTCTTCAATTTAGGTGTTATCTCTATCACAATAGAATTTCATTTTGTTTGACTCGCACTGTGCGATGTGATTTCCAAGAGATCTTTAAATACACTCAAGTAAAACGTCTGAAATCTTACCTTCGCTAGTGCTGCCATCTGAGTTCTCTGTTGGGAAACTGCCAGGCTTATTGTCGTCCATGTTGCATACAGCTGTAACGGTCTCGAACAGCTCGTTCATGAGATCGTTGAGCTGAAACAAACAAATGGATAGACATTAGCAACTTGAGAAAATGAATAAGTAAGTTGACGGTTCTCTTTTTCATTTTACGATTTAACTCTTTGAGTACCGTCATTATAGACACAATTAAAGAACAATAGGTTGCGGTCACCGGTGTCCTCGCGGTGTTTGACAGTTTAATGAAGATTTTGTTTAAAAAAACAAGACAAAGGTAAGAAATTTTTATTCTGTTTCACTCTTTAAACGAATTTTTGAATATGTATGATAATCACAAATGCAATCGGGTTCTAATAAAAAAGTCTGGCATCATATACCGGCCACAATTCCAGACTCCGTGCTACTACAGAGGTTTTTTTAAAAACCCAGTAATACTTTGCTCGACCCGGGCCCAAGTCTGCCGGTCAAGGGGACCAGCAGTCGCACTTGCGACCACTCGGCCAACGAGGCAGTCTATCGAGTCGAGTATCCTATAGCTAATATTATAAATGTAATTTAATTTTTTTTAAACTTCCCCACTGTAGGTTTTTCTCCTGTGTCGTGGGTGCATTTACAAACATACAAGTTCACATTCATAATTAATTTACGTAGGGGCATTAAGTACCGTAATGTGCACCTCTGCCTACCCCTTCGGGGACAAAAGGCGTGATGTTAAGTGTGTGTGTAATTTACGTGGGATTTTTTTTAAAGGGGGAAAACCATCGAATTACTGCTCCCGTCTGGGTAAGGCGGGAGGGCGTGTCAGACTCTTACTGACTAAAAACCACCCCGTTCCTTCTCCTGCCCTTCGATTTGGAGCCCCGGTAACCCGTTAGGTTCTCCACGACAATTTACGTAGGATAGGATGCACTGGGAAAAGCCGATAGGAAACTCCAGAGGAAAGTACACCATACTTACCTACAAATTAAAAATAAAATCCACAAAACAAAATACGATAAAAACAATTGACAACCGCTCCAGTTCAACGTTGGATTATGACTCAGGTGATCCATGCAAACAGCCAAACAGCGATTGTTTGAAACGATTTGTATGAGATTTACAGTTTCATGACCGCGAGGTCGTGGCTTAATCACAGGTTAAGTTACAGTTGTCAAGGTCGGTTTGATGATGGGTATAGTTTTAAATTGTCTATCTATGACGATCGTTATAGTGAGTCAGGGCCTTAAAATACCTGACGACGGGTTTAAACAAAATATTAGGATTGAGGAGGTTTCCAATATTTTACCATCTTTAGATGCACAAATAGATCGAGCCAAACCACTTAAATTGTCAAACACCGCGAGGACACCGGTGACCGCAACCTATTGTTCTTTAATTGTATCTATAATAACGGTACTCAAAGGGTTTTTAAAGATATGGTTTGCTCATGTAAACAGTTTGAGGGCGCTTGACTGATCTCGTGTCACAACGGGGTTCATAATCATGAGCAATGTTATACAAAAAATTATCCCAATGCACTAAAAGATTTAGTTAAGCCCCCGCACATTAAGCCCCGATCCTAACCTGCTTTTTTGATACAATGTCAACTTTAATGCAAAACGTTTAAAGTAGAAATTCACTTAAGTAACTCTGACAGTTTATGCATTACTAGCATAATGGATAGAAATCACAGTTTTATACACGTCTGCCTATCCCTTTAGCATAAAACACGCATGATACCATGTTTACATAGATAAGAGAACACGAGAAAAACATTTCCGTATACCTGTTTTGTTTATAAATAAATGTTATCATTTTACAAAATGCAAACTATCAACTTGCAATTAATGTAATTACAATTTATGATATATCGGATAAATATTATCTACTAATAGTGTAAATGTAGAAGTAACTTGGTACGTCTATTTATATAGTGATCACTATCAATCTTATACTATCCAGGCTGCCTCGTTGGCCGAGTGGTCGCAATTGCGACTGCCGGGCAAGGGATCTCGGGTTCGATTCCCGGGTCGGGCAAAGTAGTACTGGGATTTTCAAAAAATCTCGGTAGCACGGAGTCTGGAACTGTGCCCGGTATATGGCAATAGGTTCACCCCCTATTACATGACTCATAACATAGATAGTGAAAAGTGGGTGTTTCATTGTACAGTGGCATAAGTACCGTAATGTACACCTATGCCTACCCCTTCGGGGATAAAAAGCGCGATATTATGTTATGTCACTATTACTATCATACAGGTGTCCCTGAAGTCGACGATCAAACTGCACCAGATGATCGGCAAGGTTCCAACAGTGATCAGAAAAATATAAAAAAAAATCCACGTCAGATAGTTTTTAAATTACAATGACTTATGTGTTACCCACGAAAAAGTATACCCTGTGCCAGTCTTTTGACTTTTGTTGCTACAATTCTATATTGAACGCGGTAATGTCCGGAATTCAATGGTCCAATTTGAAAAATGCTTTTTGTGTTGATAGTCCATATTACTTTATTATACAGTTCAAGTGAAAGTCACTGGAGGGAGGCCTATGCTCAGCTGTGGAAGACTTGTGGATTTGATCAGAGTTCAAGTTTGAATAACGACACTGATAGTATCTACCACCTCTGCCTACTCCCTAACAAACGTGTTAAAGCTAGCTTACAATATGACATGTCATGTAAAACAAATCCAACCAAGTACCTGTATTCGCCATTTTGACCGCTCCAATCCAAATGACACAATAATACAAAAAACTTCAAATACACTACACAGAACTTCCCTACACACTAACACTTTTTAATGTACTCATTTTAAAAGTATTATATATCACAAAAAACAATACAAACACAAAATTCTTATTTTAAACACAAAAAATGAACACGTATTTATTATTCTTTATTTTCTTCACACGCCGCGGTTTATAGAAACGGTATTACACAACAAAATACAATACAAAAAATTTATTTTTTTATTTGTATTTCAAGAAGGCATGTCTATGCAAACTGATCTAATTTGTACCGTGATTCCAAACACAATGTTTCAAGTATTTGATAAGTAGTTGTGTGAACGCCGCGTCCGAGTTCATGCAGGAATGAACAATTCTATAACAATTTTTCCTCAATTAAATGAAATACAATTTTTTTCCTTAAGGCCGAAATAATGTGAAGTTTATTATGACTATTATCTCTTGAACGGATTTATCAAATACATTCTAAAGTATGTACTTCAATTTTGATTAAGGCCAATGTTACAGAACAATACTTAAGCGGAGAGCTCCTCTTTAGTACAGTTAAAAAGAGATGCAAATACGTTGAATAGATACGTGCATCCCTTTCCAACTATCCCTTTGTTGGGGAGAAAATCATGCGATGACTTCTCCCGCCTAGGTTGAGGCGAGAGGGATGTTCACTCTTACTGACTAAACACCACCCTGGGCCTTTAGTATTAGTTACTTTTACGTTTAAAGTAATCGAAACGAAACCTCGTCCAGCGCTCCGATTGGTTGGTTCATTGGCGCCCGCCAATCAGAGTGCCGAACGCGTACTCGTTTCGATTATTTTAAACGTAATGGAAACTTATACTAAGGCCAGAGGCCTTCCTATTTCTACTTCAAGCTGGAACCACGGTAGCCCGTTAGGCCGTCTGCAGCTCCGGTTTTCACCTATGCTTGGGCAAAAATATCCGCTTGAGTCTTATCGGCTTTAGTCACCTCACCATATAAAATAATATCTCCAGTAAGAAAAAAATGTATAAATTAATGAGTAATATGACACTACTAACTGCGAATACCACACGTACGTATCCCGGGCCGATCAAAGTATAACTAGGAACCCTAAATTCGAATTTATCAGATATCTCGTCCCTTATATTTGGATAAACCTCGCCCATATATAAAAATGCAATTCCAGGATTTGCATGATTGATAATAATATCAAAATTCATGAGTAAGTGCTTGTTATGGTCTTGATAAATAAATATATAGATAGGATATACAATCAAACATACATTTATATTTATTTTTAGATAAAAACTGCACTGTGCCCTGAAACAGACATGATGTCATCTCATTCAGTAGAATGTGTCTGCTCAGATTTTAATACAAATAAAAATGTACTGTAAATAAATGGCTTTAGGAATCAAATTAGAATTGACAGTATTTCTAAACAAAGTGCTGTTGTTTCTGAGATTGAGTGCTACGGTAATTTTAACTTTAAGTGTGTTGAATGAGAACTTAATTTCAAAATGTCTTATATCTTTTATGGATTACATGCTTAACACGCTATTGTTACAGCTAAATTAAATAAAGCTAAAGAAGTATATAAGGAGCACAGTAGTACACGGTGGCGCTCTGTGGTTTCTGGCTACATGACAAAGAGCGCCATACTACAATTCTTAAACACACATAACATAACATGACACACACATGACGACACTTAATGCCACTATACAATGCAACACCTACTTTTCATCTATACTAATATTATAAAGATGAAGAGTTTGTTTTTTTGTTTGTTTGTTTGAACGCGCTAATCATCTCCAAAACTACTGGTCCGATTTGAAAAATTCTTTCTGTGTTGGATAGCCCATTTATTGAGGAAGGCTATGGGCTATAAAATATAACGCTACGATTAATAGGCGCAAGCGGAAGTACCTAGTTATTTATAAGTCCCATGTAATAGGGGGTGAGCCTATTGCCATATACCAGGCACAATTCTAGACTCCGTGCTACTACTGAGAATTAAAAAAAAACCTAGTAATACATACTTTGCCCGACCCGGGAATCGAACCAGTAATTCTTTTCCCGGAAATCGAACCTGAGACCCCTTGCCCGGCAGTCACACTTGCGACCACTCGTCAACGAGGCAGTCAATTAATTAATGATGTTAATTATGTTCTTGGCTCCCTTCTGATTGTGAATATAATAACAAATGAGGCTAGGTCATTACTAGTATTATTGTGACGTTAACGATAATGATTTATTGCGCTAGTGTTGTTCTGTAACGTTTATCGATATCGATACTTTTTGAATTGTAACGGATTTTTTGTTGAGTATTTTATAATTATGTGTTTTATGTGAAGTGAGTTTGTTTGTTA